CATACTCATATGCATTCATATGATTCTGTCTTGTTAAGCTTGCATTTCAAGTCTTGTCCTTGTTCGCTTAAGTGTTACAGCATGCTTTATACCTTACTCGGTGTGGGTTTAGCCAAGGTCACCCTGAGCCTAGGTTAGTTTTGAACCTCTTGCATCTAAGACCATCTTGGAATTTACTTTGGTTGACTCCACCTTCGCTCTGACAAGTTGGTCGAGATGTCACTATCTAGACCGAGGTGTTCATCGCCGAGGCCGGGATGTGTATTATCTAGGCTAAGATGTTACCCTTGAACCCAAGTGACCTTACTCCTGGATAGGTACGACCTAGACCGAGGTGTGGCACATCTAGGCCAAGTGTTGTCCTTTCTAGCCGAGGTCCTTGCCCATTGCTTGCCGAAGTCTTGTTGTTAGCCGATGTTTTTACTTGTCGGAGTGCTCTTGCAGCCTAGCTTGTTAAGTACACTTTGTCATAGTCTTGTCTTTTCACTCAGTCACCTTTTTGAGTAGAACCAACCAGTCGTTGCCACGTACCCCTGCAGAGGGTTAAGTCAGCCGACAGACCCAAAAAATATACATTTTTGTATTATATCTTTGCCTTCTAAAGAGAGAAAAGCTCTAGGAAGAAGAAGAAGTTTTAGAGTGAGAGAGTGGGCTTTCGAGCTTGATTCCTAGAGATCAAACCGTTAGATTCATGTATTGAGGTTAGATTCTTGATTTACTCTTGTTGTTCTTTATGCTTCTCTAGCTGCATTGCACGATTGAACCTATTATGTACGTCATGCATTGATTTAAAGTTGGTTTTAGAAAGAGAAAATAGTGTTCATGTGTTCTTGAAGAAAAAGTCTTGTTTGATCCGAAAGTTTGCATTAAGATTCATGTTTTTGTGTTTGTTCTCACAAGATCCTTGAATATGGGTACCCAGGTCCATGTTTTTGAATATTGTAGCACAATCTTTGAAACTCCGTACGTGCTAGGGGACTATTGTAGCACAATCTTTGAAACTCCGTACGTGCTAGGGGACTATTGTAGCACAATCTTTGAAACTCCGTACGTGCTAGGGGACTATTGTAGCACAATCTTTGAAACTCCGTACGTGCTAGGGGACTATTGTAGCACAATCTTTGAAACTCCGTACGTGCTAGGGGACTATTGTAGCACAATCTTTGAAACTCCGTACGTGCTAGGGGACTATTGTAGCACAATCTTTGAAACTCCGTACGTGCTAGGGGACTATTGTAGCACAATCTTTGAAACTCCGTACGTGCTAGGGGACTATTGTAGCACAATCTTTGAAACTCCGTACGTGCTAGGGGACTATTGTAGCACAATCTTTGAAACTCCGTACGTGCTAGGGGACTATTGTAGCACAATCTTTGAAACTCCGTACGTGCTAGGGGACTATTGTAGCACAATCTTTGAAACTCCGTACGTGCTAGGGGACTATTGTAGCACAATCTTTGAAACTCCGTACGTGCTAGGGGACTATTGTAGCACAATCTTTGAAACTCCGTACGTGCTAGGGGACTATTGTAGCACAATCTTTGAAACTCCGTACGTGCTAGGGGACTATTGTAGCACAATCTTTGAAACTCCGTACGTGCTAGGGGACTATTGTAGCACAATCTTTGAAACTCCGTACGTGCTAGGGGACTATTGTAGCACAATCTTTGAAACTCCGTACGTGACTCTAAGCACTTGTAGCACAATCTTTGAAAGTCTGTACGTGCTAGGGGACTATAAGCATTTGTAGCACAACCTTTGTTAATTTCATCCCTTGGAACTTGAAGGCCTTGAAAGACCTTAATTGTTGAGACTTGAAAGATTTGTTAGATAAACTTGATTTGCCCTTGGATTTTGTACAAGATGTGATGTGCCTTGATTTGATAAAGACTTCGGATATCATGCATGTAAACCCCTTTATTATTTATACCATTCACTGAGTATTCAAGCTCACCCCTCTCTATATATATGTAGGTGACGAACAAGACGGCGGTGACGCCTAGACGTGCTTGCAATTTGTTTTGGATTTAGCATTTTGTAGCATCTTGAAGATCATGCTTCTTGGTTGTATTCCCTTGTATTTTGTATTTGACGGCTTGAGAAGCCTTTTGGTCAAGATGTATTTTTGTACTTCATTTTGTTGTATTAAAGCTATGTGAAGATGTATGCCATTCCATTTAACTTACGCACTGCTCTTATGGACTACTTAGCTTTGAATTTATTGTTTCCACACTTGTAAGCCCCATATGTATACTCTGTTGTGTGTGAAACCTTGCAAGTTGGCCTTGGGTAATTGTGAATTACTAGTCATCATGGCACCATTCTACTAGGGGCGGAATGGCGTCGTTACATTCCGTTTTCCATCAATAATCCAACACCAAGTCCATCTTCCAATGTATTACATACATAAAGGTTTATATGGTTGAAACCCCATCTTTTAAAAATTACATAAAGACTCCAAAACCTTCTCAAAATTTCCCAACAACCCCCAACATATCAAAATGCCAAAATTTAAAGACAAAGCTCATAAGATGGAGTAGGATATCCCTACCTCGAAGTTAGAGCTCAAACGGAGGAGAGGACCAAACTCAAAGTGCTCCAAACTCCAAACTTTTCGGATCAAAACGTAGCCATCGACGATCAACACACTTTTTGTAAGGGCCAAAGGGTAGGAGAACACTCCAACTAGATCAATCCTCAGAGAGAAGGGAGAAAGTAGTGAGAGAAGCTCTCAACAATGGCTTTTTCGGAAAAGTAAGAGAGAGAGTGGAAGTTGAAAAGTGATGCAAAATAGCCTAGCTGTCAACTGATATACGACACCCCCGCTCAAGCGTAGAACGTGAAGCTCGAGCTTCTAGCACAAAAACTGGACCCGCTTGAGCGCAAGAAAGCCCGCTCGAGCTCCAAGACACAAAAACAAAACACATCCGCTCGAGCGCGAAAACCAGTCCGCTTGAGCGTGGATTCTCCCCTCCCAGTATTTTCTCAGACAGTGAACACCCACTCGAGCGCCAAAAGGGCCCGCTCGAGCGTGAAAAACAAGCCTGCAGTACTTTTGTAGAGGCACGAAATGCTGGAAGTATGGAATCTCCGCTCGAGCGCACAAGGACCCGCTCGAGCAGACCACTCAAAAACTAGGCAACAAGAATTTGAACTGAGGCTCAACCCACCTATTCGAAACACGCTCAACACATCCTAAAGCTCAGACATATGGGATTAAAGGATGACAACAAGACATACAACCACCAACTCCACGGAACCTAAGTCCGGAACACTGTACATAAAGGGGACAAACCCGGGATCGTTATAATATATGTATATATAGTTTTATTGAATTGTCAAAACTTATTTTCAGAATCTATTTTGCTTTCAATTTTATTCTATAAAATTGATTTAAAAAAATTATTGTTTAATTCCCCTAACAGTTTCTCTAGATGAAAATTGGATGGTAAATTCTCTAATGGGCAGTTATGCCAACAAAGCCACCTTAACTGTTCAAATAGATCTTCAAAATTTCCACTGAGGTGCACATGATTTATTTGAAGCAGTATTAGCTTATGCATCCCAACAAATGCTTTGTTGCTCCATTGTATCTTCTTTAACATGGGTAGGGTTAGGATCACACCTTCGACTGCTTTTGTTCCGTAATATAGTAATATTTAAAAAACAAAATGGAAAATTAAAAGAAAGAAAAACTATCAAATAACTGAAATTAGCATTTCAAGCCGAAAACTTACTAACTCACAAGAAAGAATTAATGTTAGGTTTTATTCTTGGCAACCTCGTTTGACAAAACTCCTTTCAGTTGTATTTATTTTCACACTTTTATTTCAGTGAGGCTATGAGCGTTCAGATGCGAATCTAACCCGAATTGTGCCTTTCAGAGAAGTTTGTGATGCTAATGCTTTGAAGATTGCCACTTCGCTGATTATGACGGGGATCGAGCTGAAAAAGTACTGAGATGTGTAATTTCGCGCTTCAGCGGGTTCTCTAGCGCTCGAGCGGACCTCTGTTATATCATGCGTTATTTTGTTGAAGCCGCTCGAGCGGGCTGTTGGGCGCTCGAGCGGACCGCGCAAACACAGTTTTTCGAATTTCAATAAGGATTGGGTTTTCTTCCAAATCTCGGATTACTTTTGGTTTTCTATCAGTAGTTGGTTTTCTTCCAAAACTAGACTACTCCTAAAATCCTCCAGATCTTCTTTTTGGATTCTAAGGTTTATAGCTGGGGATATTTTGCTAGTTTTCTTTGATGTTTTAATTGAGTATTCAACTCATGGTTTAAAGAGTATACATCAAAGGATTATTTGTTTGTTCTACACAAAAGAGAGAGTTGTTCTTCGGTGGATTCTGAAGAATTTGAGCCTGAAGCTTTGGTGGATTCTGGAGTGGCTTATCGTCAAGACAATTCCGAGGTGAAGACGGGGTTGGAAGAGACACATAGAGGTTGGTTCAATTCGGGCGTGGATTTGCTAGGTAATTGAGAGTATACCTGTGTAATTCCTTTATATCTTCTTAGTGGATTGTTTTGTGACTGTTGCCCGTGGTTTTTTTATCACAATTGGAGGTGTCCAATTGTAGTTTTTCCACGTTAAAATCGTTGTGTCGATTTGTCTTGATTGTTTGATTGGGATTGTTTTATTGCTTAAAATTGATACATAATCACAAATCAGCATCTAGAGGATTTCTAGATTTTTCAATTAAGATTCGACTCTTACCTTGTTTTTTTCAAGTACATAGCATACATCTTCATGTAACCACAATCTACTACACTTTTCAGGCTCCTTCGGGTATTTTTCATGAATAATTTCCCTCCCCATATCCCTAAGTAGATCATGCATCAACAACTCATTTCTTTCACTAATTATCAATAAACATCTACTAACCAAAACACTAACTCCATTTTGAGCAAAGAAACCACAACTATTCAATATAGTAATGACATAGTCTTTGTCCGATCCAACGAAAAAGCATGCACTATCAAGGAAAATATTCTTCATTCTGTCATTATCTAGCAAGTCAAAACTTATCCTAAGTTTTTTTTTGAATTTGATGATGAGGAATTTGTTGTAATTCATCAAGTGCAGTTTTCCATTCTAGGATGTTTCTTCCAAACAAATAAGAACCCAAAATTTCAAGAGCTAGTGGAAGCCCTCTAGCATAACTTACTATATCATTTGCAAGCTCTGCAAAATTTTCTAATGGATTGGTTTCTCTGAAAGCATGCCAACTGAAAAGCTGCAGAGACTCTTCGTGATTTAATTCCTTAGGCATATATCTTTCATCAACTTTCAATCCCTTCAACAAGTGCTCATCTGTAGTTGTTATGATGATTCTACTTCCTGGACCAAACCAATCACGATTTCCTGCCAAGGTATTTAATTGACTTGATTGATCCGCATCATCAAGAACAATGAGAACCTTTTTAGAATGGAGCCCTTCTTTCATCAAATTAATTCCTTTGTCAACACTGCCAATCTTTAGATTCTTTGTCCCTAATAATTCAAAAAGAAGTTGTTCTTGCAATTGAACTAGGCCATTGAGTTTTCCTGCAACTTCTCTAACATTTGCAAGAAAACAACTTCCTTTAAATTGGAGGAAAATATGGTTATACACGGCTTTTGCAATGGTTGTTTTGCCTATTTCACCCAAGCTGTATATCCCAATCATGCGAACATCATCTGATCCAATGCTCAACGTTAAATTTATGTGTTCAACATGAGAATCTATTCTAACTGGGTGCACAACAACATTTAGGAATGTATGTTTCAGTTCGCATAAAACTCTTTAACAATTTTTCGGATGAACTTTGCTTCATGCCTGTCAATTTCGATCCAAATTAAAAGTAAAGCAAGTGTATATTCCAAAAATACAAAACCTTACAAACCCCACTTCCAATATGCAGTTAATCAATGTAAAATTCAAAACATCTTAAACTTACAAAGTGAACTAACTATACTTTTTAAATATTAAAAACAATAAGGATTGGATTTTCTAGTTAAAGATAAAAATTGATAGCAGCAGCGGCAGCAAAATTAAAAGGAAGTTAAAAATTACCCATTAGCAACATTTTGCATATCCCAGCCTAATAAATTAGCAGCTTCAAAGAGGGCAGCTTTCCTCACCTCCACCTTCCCCATCTCATCCACGTAACGCTTTTCATGTCTTCCAAATGCTTCTCCGAACACTCTGTTTGGTGCTGTACATTAGATGGATCGACATCGTAGAATAGTGGGAGAACTAATTGTCCAAGTGTTTTCTTGCTTTCAATGATCTTCACGAGCTCATCAAGGCACCATCTGGAAGAAGCATAGTGTGTCGAGAAAACAACGATGGAGATCCTCGATTCTTCAATTGATTTTAGCAAGGCCGAAGAAATGTCATGTCCTCTTGGGAGTTCATCATCGTCCACGAAGGTGTGAATTCCAGCTTGAACCAAAGCCGTGTAGAGGTGATCAGTAAAGTTTTTGCGGGTATCTTCACCTCTGAAACTCAAGAACACGTCATAGCTCCAGCGAGGTTGTGTCGAAGATGATGAAGAAGCAAAACGAGAAGAGCCATATAGGGTTCTTGTAGCAGCCATGGATCAACCCAAGAATAGAGATCAAATGAATTGTAGGGAGGAATATGACTGAGTGAGTGGTGACTATGCAAAAGGTAAGAAAGCGCTATTTGCAAGCACTCTGGTGATTCGATTTGGACTCAAATAATAATTTAGTACATTCAATTAAAATTTTAAAATTTTAATTTTTATCATATCTTAATGTAAAGTTATTAATAAATATAATAGACATTAAATCCTCAATAATTTTTTTTTTCTCATGATACATTCAAGCTATTTTTACAAATTTTTTATATTTAAATTTCTTCATCTTCTTCTCAAATTTCAATTATTTTTTCTTCATTTCAAAACTTCAATCTTCCTTATCAAAACTCACCATTAAAACTTCAATTCACTCCACCAACGCTCACAATTATTATTAATATCAATAATTTTGGAGCAGATGCCGACAGCAAAACACCACCGTTTTGGTGGGTTTGATTTGTATATAATAATAATAATAAATCAATGGAAGCAATGGCTTCATTCACTACTTCACTTTTCAATCTGAACCCGTTTTGTTTCTCAAACTTACAATCATGACATCCATGACAAAATGAGTGGGGATAGGGATCATGAAAAAAATATCATAAAGATGATTATGAAAGATTTTTCATTTTTAGATTATACATATAATAAAACATCACCACTAATCAAAAGATGAAAAATCTTCACAATACATTTCATGATTCCTAATTTTATTCTGACAAAATTATCGTAAGGTGAGTTGCCATTATTACCTTGTAATCATCAGTGGAAGAGTCATAACAAAGTATACATAGCCATGTTTGTTTGGGTAGACTGGATTAGCATTCCCATGACTAATAGTCCTAGGACTACAAATCCATTGGATTATGTATCCTATATTAACTAATAGTCAAGTTTAAAATAATTAGTCTGTACTTCAATTGTTTAACCAAACATCGGATTAATAATTTTATTGGACTATTAGTCCAATCCCAAGCTCATGTCCACCCAAACAAACATGAGATCTCCTTGATGTAATCCTTCACAACATAGCAATAATCCGCAGCAGGACCAAATTGATAGAAAAATTCCACTCCTGCATATACGAGCAACAATCGATTCTAGGAATCCTGATTTTGATCTCACAAATTGATTTTGTGTAAAATTAGAGTTTTGATTTGTTTATTATTTGGATGTATTTTGAAGGATAAATTGTAAAATTAGAGTTTTGATTTGTTTATTATTTGGATGTATTTTGAAGGATAAATTCGGAAAAAACATATATTGAAAGTAAATTATAACCCTAAGTAATTTAATAAGATTTACTGTGAAATTAGGCATACTTAATGATTTTTTAGGTGCAAATAGAATTCCTCAAGCACTCTAATTTGATGGACTTTTGATCTTAAAATATATGGACGGAATCCTGAGAGAGTTAAAATAAAATAAAAATAAAAATTTAGGAAAATATTATTTTTTCCAAATAATTTCATTTTTATAAATGCTTTATTTTAAAATAAAAAATACACATTAAACCACGACATTATATATATATATATATATTAAAGATTTTTTTAGAACCCGTCCATAAATAAAATTTGGGATTTGTTTCTTCTAATTGTTCACACACTAAACTTTTAAGTCCATAAGGACACGATTTTGATATCATCAAATTTTTTGCACTATTTGACTGAGATAATTATCTCGGCCACTGAAGGTTGGCAGATTTGACTAATAAAATTTTTGCACTCTTTGACCGAGATAGGCATCTCGGTTAATGAAGGTTAGCAAGTTTGACCAACATAAATTACCCGCTAAAAATGAAGATTATTTTGTGCTCTACGCCAGTGTACCAATACTAGTTATGACATTATTATTGACCCACTCATTATACAAATTACATATATCAAAAATATCTTAAATTATGTCACATCATCAATTGATACACTAGTTAGTACACTAATTGGTGCATATAGCATTATTCTAATTTCTAATGATGTGGTATTGGGATTAGATTCCACATAATAGAATATTTGATAAATTAAAATTTGACACTTGTTAGACATATCATTAGAAGTGATTTTTAAAAGCAAAAATGTTTGGAAACTCTAAATCAAGATCTCTAAAGGAGTTCTAATGGGTGAGGCCCACCCATTGATTTGATGTTTAAGTTTTTTTTTTTTTTTTTTTACCTTGTCACGTCATTAGAACTTTTGTTAGAGCTCTATTCCCAAAACTCTGTATCATCACTATTTTTAAAAATGTTAAATTAAACGTCTCAAATATTTTTAATATATACAAACATAACAAAATTTATGGGAATTTATTAGTTTGGGGCCCAAAACAACGGCCTTAATGGCCTTGCACTTGGGACTGACCTGTGTGTTAAGATGAAATGTCAAAAAATACGGGGCATTCTATTGGAATCAAAAAAATATTTCAGTACGTCTAATTCAAATTTATAAATTTTAATTTGTATTATATTTTAATGTGACTTTACTAATAAAGACAACACATATTAAACCTTAAAATAATATTTTTTTTCCTCATAGTACTATTTCTCCATGCAGAGTCCTCCTAGGATTCATACTCCTAAGGATAATGCTTATCCTTTTACACCCTCCCCCACTGCTTAAACCAAGTGGGATGGTTTTCACTTTGGCCGAACTACTATATGACCGAAATAAGCTTGGCTATGCAGAGCCACTGAGTAAACCAAACTATCCTTAGTTCGGTTCCACTTTTAACTCTATCCTTATCTCAGTTTTCCCATGTACAACCTATGGTACGGTCTTAGGCCGAACCAGTGACTTTCGGCCGGTATAACTCCAAGACCGGCATAACTCTTAATCGTTCCCAGACCGCAGTATTTTTATAATTCTTGAGCCGAAGTAATTTTACCTCCCTGGCCGGAGTAACTTTGTTTCTCCTAAGCCGGAGTAACCTTGCCTCTCCTAGGCCGGAGTAATCATTACGGCCGTTTTACTTAGTCTTTCGCAGTTTAGGCCACAATGCCCAATTCGCAGCTCGGCCCAATTTTTCCCAAAAATTAACCTCTCAATTGCCCCTTAATTCCATCTGCGCAACATGATTGGGATTACCAGTCTACTGGCCGAGCTAGAGTTTGTTAAGCCTTTCCAGCCGAGCTAAAAAACCCTTTAGCCTCTCCAGCCGAGCCAAAAACTCTTGGGCCCTTAAGCCGAGCTAATTTTACTTCGGGTTTTACTTTGTCCGGTTAAAACGTCTCTTCAATCACGACTGTAACGCTTCCCTTTCCGTATACACGTGGCATGCTCCCATTCATAGAAGGCAGCTGTCAACAGCGTCTTCGTGTTTCGCAATTTTTGAACAGTTCCCGCCCTCTCTGTCTCTTTCCACAAAACAATCATCCTGCCTTTGAACCATTCACTTTTACTATTCCTCATCTTCTCTCTCTGTGCTCTTGCTGTTCTTCCGTTGCTTCTGAGGACTGTTTTTGCTACCACTTTTCCATCTCCAGTCTCCTTTTCTTCAATCTGGTAAGTAAACTCATTTTGTTTTTTTTGTTTTTGCTTCCATACCTGTTCTACGCATTTGGTTTACTGTATTATTGCAGAACATGCTCTTCCATTTCTGCTTTGCTTCTGTATTTTTATGAATAAACCAGTAGAACTTCATGTCTGTATGAATTATTATGTAGAAAACTAGTCTTAGATCCAAAATCACATAGCAACCGAACTAGGATACTGTTTGTCCATATAGGCAGATCACTTCAGTCAATAGCCGAACTAGAACTTGTAGAGACGACAGTAGCTTCAAAAAATATCCTTCTGATTCACTTTAGCCGAAATAATATCACCGAACGAAGTCTGAATACATTAAACTAAGAACCTTAGTCTTCAACCGAGCTAAGCCTTTGGGGCTAAGCCAGCTTTCTTAGTTTCTAAACCAAACTCAGAAAGCTGCCCCTAGTGGCTTAACCGAAGCAAAAAACCCACTGTTCAAACTGAGATAACAAATCCCTAAAGGAAAACCGATCTTGCACGCAATAAGTTCAAACCGAACTATCGAGTGTTGTGCAGAACCGAAACAGAACCAGCCCATAAAGCCGAAATAGGGCTCATTTACCTTGTTTTTAATTTGTAGCACAGTCCAATGATCTGTGCTTAACCCCTTTGTTTTCTACTTTGCAGACTTAGGTTACCCAGGCACTCCTGCGTGCGCTCAACCGAGCTACTGGGCACAATTTTTGCACCGATATAACTTATTTGTAAATTATAGAAATGGGTAAGTATAGGTACTTGGTAGAGACCCCTGGTGGTATGGCCGAATTCCGAAGGGATTATGGCATTCCAGACGATGTACACCTTACCCTAGCCAAGAAGGAAACCATTCCGTGGAATAACCAAGGCTTTGTCCCCTTCACTGTTTTATCCATTATAGAAACCGGACTAAGGTTCCCGGTCCAGCCTTTAATTTGTGAATTTCTTAGGCAAACCAGACTATGCCCAACCCAGCTATCCACCAATACATACCGGATAATAATGGGTATTGCCGAGCTAAACCGCCAAGCAAGCCTGAACCTCGGTTTAGCTGAAATCTTCCACCAGTACTCCATAGGTTCCAAAGATGATGGCTGGGTTTATTACCTTAGGATACGCCGACGTAGAGAAAAGATAATAAAAGATACACTGGATAAGGATGTCAATGACGATGACTTCTTCTGCGTATCAGGCAATTTTGAGGATCACCAAGCCCATATCCCAGGCCGAAGTATTAACTGGAAGAAAGGAGAACCTGGTAAAGTTACTTCTGTTTTATGCATGTTTTTCTTTTACTTCGGTTTCAGGCGTCATGACCGATCTAACAGTTATATTTTTTGCAGACTTAGCTCATCTTGCATCCCATTATAGCTACCCAAATCTGAACATACTTCGAGCCGCACTACGGATTAAGGAAAGAAGTTGGACTACACTTCTAAACTTTGAGCCGACCTACAGCTATAGCGGTCGTCGAAAAGCCCGAGTGACCGATTT